CGTAGTAATAACCTAGCTAGTTGTGAGCTTTTAGCAATAGTACTCCTAATGTTCCTCAATATTTATTCCATTTAACTATTTTGTCTATTTATATTTGGATTACACAATTGAGTTAAAAAGACCTCCTAAAAATTTTCTTAGTTAAGGTAACACTACTAAATAAAGTTTACGAGTAAAGGATTTTTCTTGTCATAAATTGCACTTTTATAACACAATTTTGTAGTAGTAAACAAGTAATATAGTGGCTATTTTCACTTAACTATTGTAAACATTAATCCGTAATAGTTGATCTTAAAAAAAAGAGGTAATACAACAGCTAATAGCAATTGCAACAATTAATAATCACGATATATTATAATAACTACTCGGAATAGTAATTAGCATAGTCATAAAATGTCACAACAATTAGATGAGTAAATAGCTTATTATTATCTTTACAAATGCATAGCAATTGAAATAACGCCAGCAAGATGGGTAGTTCTAACACTACTGCAGTTAGTTAATAATGTTGAACATGCGATAATCAAACTGTTTAGTAAGTAATTAAGAAGTGAAAAAGTAGGGTTAAGAGGTGTAAAAGAGAAGCTGTCCAATCCTTGTTAAAAAGGTTGTCTTTGTCCCCACCACTAACTTATACCTGGGTTAAAACGTGGGAACCAAAACAATAATGAGTTTAGATCAACAATTATTACTTCAAATGGGCCCCACTTTAACATCAGCCCACCATTTTTCTGGCCTCTTCTTGTTTAGCTTTCTTTAAATCTTAGATTTATTTTATTTGTTTCCTTAATAAGATTATAAAATTTTAACATATGAACAAAAATAAACGCCACTTTGTCTGTCCTAACAAATAAACATACTTTATTTTTGGTGCTGGGCTTCTGTCATTTGGTACTACTTTTGTACCATCTTCTCTTTAATCACCCTTGATCTTTTTATGTCTGCTATGGTACATAAATATAACCTTGCTTTTATTCCTCGACCAAGAAAAGAATAATAAACCTTAGGTTACTTTTTAATTTAAGTACAGTCAAGGTAGTGATCCAATGTTATGTTTTATAAGTGGTGTCTAATTCAATTATACTTCTATCAATGAGGTGTGTTATTAGGATTGGATGCTAGCAATACCTTTAATTTTGTTGATGTATAGAATTGCCAACTTCAGTCTATATTGTACGTGCATCATATTGTATAAGTTTGAAAGCTCGTGTAACTCATGATATATCGATACTAATATATACATGAGATAATTACTTTTTAAGTTAGTAAGCTAAGCAAAATCAGCGTAATTCAAAGTTGGGAGTTCATACTGAAGTACTGTTGAATATGAGTAGAGTTGAGTTGGTTGGGGCTGAGCTAGGTTTGAGTTTCAAGTTTCGTTAGACTGGATTTTGACTTTGATATAAATTGAATGTTACAAGATAACAAGAGGAAAGAATTATCTTGAATTTTGAGCCCAAATCTGCTATTTACATAATGAAATAGAATCGGATCAAAGATAGTCAGTTTTAAGTTTAATGATCAGTTCTAAGTTCAATGATCAGTTCTAAGTTGATTATTCTAAAATTAGACCTCATAAATTGAACACATGAAGAAACAAACCATTAACCTCCTAATCAATACATTGACCTACCTCCAACACTTTATGCTCATAAAGGTTCCCATTTATAAAGAATAAGAGTAATAAAACCAATAATCATCCCTAATAAAAAAAAGATTGAGGCAATTAATTTAAATACCAAACAAGAAAAGGGCATGCCACATAGACAAGTGTGGTGGGGAGCAACATTACACTTGGATCACGTGTGAGTCTTTTGCTTCACTTCTCTACTTCTTCTCACCACCAAGCATACATTTTTGATGTTTTATTTCCTTAATTTTTTATTTGAATTTATTAATAATCTCTTGAAAATTAATTTATATGTAGTTCTCCTGAACCGGGGGCTATGAACCGGGCGAACCAAAGGAAAAAAGTGAAGATGGTTTAACAAATCGGCACGCTTAAGCACACGAGGGGAGAATGGAAAGGAAAGGAAAGGAAATGAGGTGAGGTTATGTGAAGAATTGTAAGGGTTACATTTGGCACTCTTAGAGATAGATAATCAAAGGATAATTATTAAAAAAAAAAAAAAAAAAAGGGCTAAAAGAATGGGCCCCACAATGGGCTAAGGATAACGGAAAAGGGCCCACATAAAACGGAGGAGGGTTCAATGATCTTGGGCTAAGCCCACGCCGGACCACCAGCCGCCACGTACTGGAAAATAACGCACCCCGTACATCATGATTCCAGTTAGTGGGCCCTTTTCTCCACCTGCCTCCACATTCCATAGGGCAGTAAACTACTGTTTCTCTTTCTTCATTTTTCATATTCCTATTTTTTGGTTATCATTTCCCGTAACAAGACCTCACTACTTGTAACTAGACTAATATTCATTGCTAGGGTTGGATTGTGTGGTAATTTCATATATAATGTGTATGTGCAAGCTTAATCATAGAATTGATCAAATTCAATTGGATTAATTTATACCTCCCTAAACCGTGTGAGAACACTATTACTCAAAATTAATGATGATGAATTAAGAACTCTTCCAACTTTTAGGATATAAACATTAATGGAATACATTTCATACATATGTTGTAATTATTCATAATATTATAAAAGGGTTATTGACTTATTGGTTTATACACGTGGATTAAATAGAATTTTATTTTTGTAAACTTCAAAACAAGATAAATTATACAAAATTGCTTCATATTTCCAAACATATTCACAAATTCTTGTATCCGAAAGCTATAAACACTTGGAACAATTAAATTTACAAATTTGTTAACAAGTGTATTTTGCCTAGCCACACCCCAACCAAACACATACTAAAACACAAATCTCATTCTAATTCAAACCTTGCGTAATAGATGATCTATGATATCGTATTTGAGCATGTATAATTTCGAATATGCCTTAACATGTGTGAGACAATCCTTTAGTATTTTATTAATGTTAAAATTTATAGCCAGGTAGTTACATATCATAAATTATATATCTTAGAACAAATAGGTCATGTCCTTTTGAGCTGCTCTGATCTGCTCTGTTTTGCTCTGCTAAAATCTGTTTTGCTCTATTCAGCTTTGCTGAAATTTGCTCTGCTCTTCACTGCCGACTCAATATGCTCTGCTCTGGCGCTTTGCTGACTCAATCTGCTTTGCTCTGTTATGATGAAATCTGTCCGACTCTGCTCTGCTTGCCCATAAACTCAAAAGAATGGGACCTTGTTCTTTCAATGATTTTATTTCCGATGGTAAATGAATTCTTTTTAAAAATAATAATATATCTTTTTGAACATGATGTGAAATATCTAACACAAGACCTTCACTTTCCAAGTTCCTTCCATCCAAATATATATCAATATTATTATTATTTAGACATAAGGTTTCCTTTTATTTTATTTATTTTTAACAAATCTGCCAGGTTGGACATTCTAGAAACTAAAACGCTGTTGAAGAAGAATGGCTCGTTGAAGTTGCTAAAAGCTGAGCCAAGCCAAGCCAAAGGCTTAAGCTTAATAAGCTAAGCTTCCTTGATGAGAACAATGAAGAAAAAAAAAAAAAAAAAAGTAAAATAGTTTTGGGCTCGTAAGATGATGATAGCATTTTTGGAGAGAAGTCGTTGTCGCAATTTATAAGAAAGGAGTCGGTTTGTGGGGCCCTTCTAATTCCTGTCAAAGGATGAATGATACTGACATTAGATTATATTTATTTTTTAATTAAAATTAATATAATATTGCGGACCAACCAACCACAGATCGCGTGCACATGATGTTTGAACACACTCTCACACATACATCCAAACATAATATTATTAAAAATTCATTTATGGATCATTAATGAGCAACATTCCTAAAAGGAACTTTTTGATGTTAGTTTTTGGTTTCTGAATATTTGGTGTGTGTGTTTTGTTGTTAAGTGGGAACTAATTTACTCGTGATTCTAAATAAGCCCGTGCAACACATTTCTGACTCTTTTGGTCACGGTCAAGCATTCTACGCACCACGCTTCTCTGACTTCCAATTCCTATAGTCTTGTTATCTTGTACTCCAGGTTCCTACCTAGGTGGTTCTAATTTTAATGTCAGTCATGTCACCTATAATTTACTCGCTTCAACTTCATGTATATTTCGATACTCCGTCACTTTATAGGTTAGCAGGTTGATGTTAAAAAGTTTAATCAGCACAAAGACATTAATAGCTCTGTATATTTCACATTGTGAGATGAAAACTACAAAAGAGTATTGACAAGGTTGGACAAGGTAAGATGTGATAAACCTAATTTGAATTTCTTACAGAATGATACTGTTGTACTCATAATATAAATTTGTATATTATTGTCTAACAACATAAAATTCTTAATTGTATGATCATTAACTAGCTAACAACTAGAGGTAACTCAACTCATTAAAACATTAATTATCCATTGTAACTAGGAAAGTGTATATTGACAAAAAAGAAATGAAAGCTAAAATTTATTTTTGATTGGTTAAACCATTGCATGATGCAATAAGGCATGGGACAAGGACTGTAGAAGGGCCATTGGGTTTGGAGCTTTTGTTAGGACAACATTCTTTCTACTTCAACTCATCATCCATTATTTATCCCAATTTAATAATATTAAAATTTAAAACACCAAAAAAATCTCAACTAAAAGTCGCATAATTCCAAATCTGTAAATGAAACCATCTTTTAGAAGAGGCTTTAACAAGGCTAAAGCTCTCCACTTCCATTCTAGCTGTGCTGACGTTTTTCATTCTCCTCCAAAATTACTTTATTAATTATTATTTATAGTATTAATTACTTGTATATATTAATATATAATATTATTATTGTCATTATCAGTAGCTGGTAAGAGGAAGAAAAGAAAAGATAGAGATGTTTCCATGATATAAGCCCTAAGCTTATAAGCTTAACCATACCATCCCACCCTCCATATCTTTCTCATTGCCTCCACAATCCCCATTTTTCGCGGCGAAAGCTTTCGCAGCAATCAATCCTAAGATAAGGAAGAGAGAGAAACAGATACATATAGATCATCAACATATATAAACAAATTAAGCTAGTACAATGGCAATGATAATGAGACTACATTAGCTTTCGCCTAGGGATTGGCCTTGGTTTTATTATTAGGGCTTTTTTCATTTTTTATCATAATAAATGCTTTTTAAAAACTCCTTTGCTTCTTATTTAACCCTCCTTCTTCTTCCTTTTTCTCACTTCTTCTTTCTTTCTCTTCATTCTTTTTCCTAACCCATCCCATCCCATCCCATCCTTACCTCGGGATCTGATCCCGCTTCCTCTCTTTCTCTCTCTTCATCACCAATAGACCTCAAGATTCAGTACTTTCCTCTCTCTAATTCGATTCCCGAGGAAGAGAAAGCTAAAAAGATCAATTCACACTCTTACTTACAACCTCCGTTTCTAAATAAGTGTCGTTTTTCAGTTACTACATACATGGTGTGATTGATCGTATCCCAGTTGAACAAATAAAGTTTGAATCTTCTTCTCAAGGACATACAGTGGAGTGCAAAAGCTGATCATATAAAAAGGTTACGTTTCTAGTCCTATATAATCACCTTCATCTAATTAAGCTAGTTTACTAATTATGTGCATCATATTTATCTACATAATAGATTTTTGATAATCACCATAATAATAATCAGGGTTTTATTACCTTTTTTTTTTCTCCCATGTATAGTTGCGATTGCTTTTGCTTCAAGATTTTCTATCATCAATTGTGATATCTCTGCTGCTACTTCTTTATTTCTATTTCTTAAACACATCAAATGATCAAAAACCGACTTTTTTTTTTGTTTGAAGATATTAGATTCATTTATGTAATATGATTGAAAAAAGGTGCATGATATGAAAACTTGAAGTCTTCTAAGTAATTAAGAAGCTGAAAGGGTTTTTGTTTTGCTTCTTAAATATCCCATTCTTTTTGTTTTTCAAAATTTTTGATAAGCTTTCTTTGAGATGATAAAATTTTCATGAGGATTTAATAGGTTGTGCAAGATGAAACACCTTCTTTGCTTTTGTTATTTGCTTAGTACTTTAATTAGTCCACCAATAGTTTTGAATAGAACTTGGATCGATCTATCCATCTTTTGGTATAACATTACCATGTCTACCATGGGAAGGAAAATGTAGAAGCAAGAGCAAGTGTGCGACTTTTAATTACAATCCTTAAAATTATTTCTAACTTAAATACTCATATCTTATAATAGTACGTATATCAATCATTAAATTTTAGCAACAAACGAAGGTGATGAACACTTGAAAATGCATTCTTGTATTGAGTTCCTTTCATGAGTGGCTACAATTAATGCCTTTTTTTAGCTTTTTGTAATTTTTATCTGGTTCAATGGGAATGTGAATTTAGCTTTTTAACTAATCACATAGTATGCCTTAAATGGAAATTTATGCATTATTATTAATTACTTGGTATGGGCCGAGAATGGAAATAATGAGATATACATTGAGCATTATATATATTTATATATTTTTTAATAAATTTTACCCTTTTAACCTTGTATATGAAATACCACTTTTCCTATTCTCGACATCGAAAGCTATAATGATCTAGTTTGTTCAATCTCTTTGAAATGTATGTAGTAGTATAGCATTGACTTTGGTTTTATTCTGCTTTACTAAGTCTACAAAAGTGACGACTATGGAAAAACCACTTAAAAGTGTGAATCTTGATTGCATTGCTTTACTCTATCATCTTTTTCATGGGTAATCTTGATGCTTTAGGTATACTTTCAAATCTTAATCATGTTGACATGCATTTTCATAACATGCATGCAAATCAAACCATTTAGAATGATTGAATTATCTAATCGTAATCAACATGTTTGTATTTATTAAGTTTAGCTCTATGGGAAGCTAAAGACTTTTGTGTAATTTGTTTGATCATTTAGCCTAAATAATGTGTAAAAATCAATCTTCTATTCTTTTTATCTATCTAGTTCAATCAGCTGATGATACATTAACCATCATTCAAAAGTTATGATAAATGTAGGACTTTCTCCGATTGAAGTTAGTAGTAATAATTATTTTGTTGAAAATATCTTTCTACATGTCCCCTAAACCAGAGAACATCTCAAATTTTATCTCTTTCTCTAGTACGTATGCTCTAAAACTTGCATAAGGAAATAATGTTACATACCTTTAAATAAGGTCCCCCCCAACTAACTAAACACAACAAAAAAAATGATATACTACTCCTTTGATCTGTGCCATGCTTCCTTTAGTTTTCAATATGTATGATTTTGACATTAGGAGAGTCAATAGTAAGAAGTAACATAATAAAACATACAGAAAGTATGTAAGACAACAATCTAAACATATTAAAGCATGACACCTTGTTTTTCTCTATTACGAATGCTCGAACAACTATATCTTACAAAGCTATTTAAGGTCATTAATCTACTTAATTTATTTATAAGAACATTATAATCACCTTACCTTTACTTACCGTCTTCAAATCATCTAGGAAAACCATTTAGTCCATGAAATACTTAGGTGTTTAATTTGTTAGGATTTGGAAATTTCCAATGTTCTAGTAGCTTAGTGCACTGAAGACTGAAGGTCACACCACAAAAGAGCCCAATATCCTTTTCTTAATAAGTCTCTTCTAGCAGTAATTATAATTCCAGTTTCCCCCTTTTTAATTAAGTAATGTATCACAATGTTGATCATCTCTAACAATTATCTGTACATTTTCCAAACCCTATGAATGGAGTGAATAGTACATGGCATTCTGATGCGTACTAAACTTGGTAACAATTTGGTGGAGGTCTAAGGTAGCTAGTGAAACCTGACTAGAAGCAAAAGTTTCCAGTAAGCTAGCTAAATATTGCGCTGTTTATATAATACTACGTACTGTACCAGGTTAACAATGGATGCTTAACTTTTTTTCAATAATATAAAATTTAAAAATAATAATTAAAGATTAAGTTTCATTTAAGTTTCAAACTTACAATTAATATTATACATCAATAATACTATTGTAGTATATAGGTACTTAACAATATCATAACAATACTCATTTATTCATTAAGATAAACAAAAGAGATAAGAGGTTAGAGCAATTGGCTAACTCTTTGACCTCCAGGCGAGAAGCCAGGGGTTACAAAGTTGTGTTGCATATGAGGTGTCATCACTAAGACTAACGAGCTTTATGGTAGAGAATTATGGTACAATAAAGCAAATCAAGGGTTCATATCCACAATAAAAAAAGATTAATTTGTCTGATTGTTTCAACAAACTATTGATTGGTGAGCGCGTTTAAAACATTAAATATTTGCATTTGTTTCACCAACATCATCTTGTCTGCCACAGTAATTGTTTGACCAGATAAAAAGAGGTTGACTCTCTTAAGTTTTCTTTTTCTTTTCTTTATTTTTGGCTTTAATTTGGCATGCGTTTGGTCCTCTGTAAGTGTTAGTGCAATTGGTGGTTGCCAAGTACTTGAGTCTCACGAATTGCTTCCACATCTTATGACAGAATTATGCATCCTAATGCTAGGCTTAATTACTAACAATGTAAACCCCTTTTAATTAAGCTTCATTTAGTGGCTTAATTTTATGTATTAAGTGCTAGCTACATGATCTAGCACTAGCAATATTTGTATAAAAAATTATCTAGTAAGGAATTAGTACAAATACACACGTAATACAGTATGTTGCATGATTAGCAATCTTTTATTGGATGTGTAGGGAAAATTAATGTTATCAAAAAGTTATTAAGTATAATACTGATCAACAATCATAAAATGATACATATAGTGTATTCGTAACTGTGTCCAATTATGCTTATCAAGGCTATATATGATGCATTTGTATAAAAACTACACAATAATAATTGCTTATTCATTTGACAATGCATGTTGCTAACCTGAACTTAAATGTATGCAAGACAATCTAACCATAAATTGAGACGACAAACTAGAATTAACATGATGTTTAACATGATTTGACAAATTTACAAAATGTATGATTAAATTGCTAAATCTCCTTTGAAAATGGCATGCAGGTCTTTGCTCTAGTTGGATAAAATGAACACATTGTCGCACGTTCCTCCGGGCTTTAGATTCCATCCAACTGATGAAGAACTTGTGGATTACTACCTCCGTGAGAAAGTAGCTGCAAGAAAGATGTGTGATATTATTAAAGATGTTGATCTTTACAAAATTGAACCTTGGGATCTTCAAGGTATTTATAATCTTTTTCATTTTTTGCAAGTATACATACAAATTATTTCTTTTAATTCTATCCATCTCTAATAGAGCAAAAATTCATCACAAATATAAAGTCGTGAATGTATGAACTTGTTATATTTAGACGTGCCAAAGCAGTATATAAAATTCATTGAACAATATAAAGTTGTGAATGTATGAACTTGTTATATTTAGACGTGCCAAAGTAGTATACTCGGTGTAATCATATAACATACTCTACTGTTTTAATGACGTACATTTTTTAATGTTGGGTTTTAAATTGAACAGAATTATGCAAGATAAGTAGTGAAGAGCAGCATGAATGGTACTTCTTCAGCCATAAAGACAAGAAATATCCAACAGGAACTAGGACTAATCGAGCTACCAAAGCCGGATTCTGGAAAGCAACTGGAAGGGACAAAGCTATCTACTCTAAGCATAATTTGATTGGCATGAGAAAGACTTTGGTTTTCTATAAAGGTCGAGCTCCCAATGGTCAGAAGTCCGATTGGATCATGCATGAATACCGTCTTGAAACAAATGAAAATGGAACTCCCCAAGTAAGTTTAACACGCTTACTAAAAGGTCTTTTTATAGGTCATCTTACACAAATTGCGTAACATACATTATACACGACCTATTATTGATTAGTGTACTATTACATGCATTGAGAGAGATGAACGACTTCAATCATATTAGTGATACAAAACAAAATTAATATCTAGAATTCGAACGTATGTACTAGAAATTTTAAGTATGCACTTTCTTGGCTAATATATTTGTGCACTACTTTTATCAGGAGGAAGGATGGGTAGTATGCAGGGTGTTCAAGAAGAGAATGGCAACCGTTCGCAAGCTAGATGACTCACCGTGTTGGTACGACGATCAACTCTCCTTTATGCCTGATATGGACTCTCCTAGAAGGATTCCTCACCATCCCAATAATTACCATACACCAAATCATAGTAATTTCCACCAACACCGCCACAACATGTACCCTTGCAAACAAGAGCTTGAAATAGCACCCTACAATATATCTCACCATGACCCTTTTCTTCAATTACCTCAATTAGAAAGCCCTAAAATGCCCCAAGCCAGTATGCAAAGTTGTAACTCAATGCCACCCTATGGAACAAACACGAATTTATCATCATCGTTGCTCGTTCAAGACCAAATGATCCATTCACAACAATTTGATTCGATGTATGGTAATGTATGTGGGTCGGAACAAGTTGAGGATCAAGTTACGGATTGGAGGGTGCTTGATAAGTTTGTTGCTTCTCAACTTAGCCAAGATGAACAACACGGTCCTTCTGCCGCGAATAAGGAAATAAATTACTCTAATGTCCCTATATTTCCTGTGTCCGAGCACATGAACATGGTGATAAGCCCTAACTCCAATAAGCAAGGTCATTTAGGGGCCTCATCAGATCAATATGCTTCAACGTCAAATTCGAGCTGCCAAATTGATATGTGGAATTGAACAAAGACATTTACGATATTATATGCTAATTAATTACCTAATTAACCTGATCTTATATATACATATACATACTGATTATATAGGGGAATACAATTACTACAAGAGAAATCTTGGATAAGTTTCCTTGTACATAATAAACATGGTAATGCAATATTATTAGTGGGGTATTGAATTTGTGAGATCAAACTTAGGGTTGATCCTCAAAGTGAACTTAGAAATGTGGTGCCTATTGTTATTGGATGATGATAGCATCTATGTTTAGAAGATTGAAAGGTTTCCAAGTATTATTGGGATTCATATTCAGAACGAACGAATATCTGATTGTACTTATTCTTATTGGAACTTAATTAACTTACATTTGATAATGAATTATATTATGTTTTACTAAGCTAGTATTTTATCAAATTCCTTGTTTCTTAGTCCTTGTATTCCATTCTACATGTCATCTACTAATACTTCATGTTGCTTTTGTTGTAATCCTTTTGTTATGTTTTTGTTTGTTTTTTTTTTAATTAAGTTGCAGCATACATATACTTTTAGTTTCCATTTTTAGAGGTTTTACTACTAGTTTCATGGATGTTTTTATAATGAGTTTCAAGTGAATGGTCAATATAATAATTTAAGAAATAAGTGAAGGCCATAGTTTTAAGGGACACAAACTTGTACTCATATTGATGTTCAAAGAGAAATTGGTTGGTGTACAACTGTACACATATCATTTCGTTTGGTTTATATTTTTCACCTGTCAAATTAAATTTAGTAAATTGTCATTTAAAATTGCCTCTTTGCATTTTTTTTTTTTTTTTTTTTGACAACGGCAAAGGAAAGAAAAAACAGCTACATAATTAAATTAGAGAGGGTGCTGCGGCAATTCTTTGCAATATCATTAGCCAATTGCACTTGATCTCTCATGACCTTAATAACCGAACATTTAAAATTGCCTCTTTGCAGTTGATTTATAAATTTAGGAGTAAATAATTGTCTGAATAAAAGAACAAGTAAATTAAATGTCTATGTTGTTAAATACTTCAATGAAGGCTAGGAATAAATCATAAATATAGGAATGCCAGCATTTCCTACGGTGTATTATAAAGCTAAGGTTGCTAACGTAATGATTGTAATTTAAAATTTAAAAACCTATGAGCTTAATAGTAGTCTCTTAAGATTGTATCATTTTTCTTTTTGAAATATACGGAGTTTTTGAACATAAATCATATCATGCAAGCTAAGGTTTTTCTACATATATCTCATATACTTCGTATGTGACTTATATGTAATGTGGTACGTACTATATCATTGTGTTCACCTTTGTTGCAATATATATAGCTAGTTTCGAATATATATAAAAACCTATAGATCCAAAGAATAATATGTTGGTTAAATTACCATACTAGTGGAGATCATATACATATATATATATGTTAAAATGAAGTGTATAGGTTTCGCACGCACTTATCAAGTACAACACTAGGTGTATGTGTTTGCTACAATAAATAGCTAGCCATTATTTTAGTAAGTACGGAGTATGATATAAGGTGTGCTAAAGGTTTCTATTTTCTTGAGTTTTCGGCAATACATTTCAAAGCATACGCTAATTACAGGGTAGCTGATACCCCTATCAAAGCTAGAAGCTTGGATTTCAACATGCATGCAGGTTCTTCAAAAACATAAAACCTTTGGAAAATGTACCGTACATAAACATATATAATGCATGTACGTAATGTGATTATTTCCATGTTGTCAACAACAATCTTTGGTTCTCTGCAGAAAATTTTGTCTTATCGCGCTACATAATCGTCTATAAGAATGCATACCATAGCTAGCATGCTTCAAGTACTCCCGATCCAAATGAAGAAGACGATGGGACATAGCATTATATATAGTTATAGCAAAATAAAAAAAAAAAAAAAACCCTACTAATTTGACAACAAAATTAAAACATGCAGCATACATGTTTAATTTATTTGGGCATCGAAATCAATGATGAACGGCATACATACGTTTGAATGTGTTTGTACAAAAACTAATGTACACTATACATTCAAGAAAAAGAAGCTGAAGCTGCATATATCTTCTTTTACTGTTCGATCGAAGAGCGACGACATACCTGAGTGAAGTTATAATTCTTGAACGATGAAACAATCTTCGCTCTTCATCCTCGTAATATTAAGCTTCATTTCTCCTAGCAAACAAAATATATACATGTGTATATGCACAAGTTTTCAGCTCTAACAAACTCTATTAAATATTTTTATTTCATTGGCACTTGAGAAAAAAATATATACACCATGCTGTATAGCTTAATGCAAATGCATTTAATGTGTGACCCAAAATTCTTAATGGACCGCAAACTTTATATAAATGGCTAGAAAATATTGTGAAAAATAAAATAAAAAAAGTGGGCCAAAATTAGATTATAGTATGAGCTAACATAATAATTGTTTATCCTTTATTAGAAGAAGACCCAGTAGGATCATCTTACTTAGGTTGAAGTCAAGCATCTGAATCAATCAATTGCTTTTAAGCAATGTGGGACAAATCAAATACCAAAAAAGTTAAATTTAATTGTAAATGTTACGATCTCATTTTGGCAGTTTGACACAATCATTGAGCGTGCTCAGATCAGAGACATTGTGGTTAATTAATTAGGCAATAAAGTATTCCAACTCTAAACTTTATATTTATTTTATAGTTTTGGATAATATTGTATTTTGGCAAAATTTTGTGTGAGATGGTTTCACAATAAAGAAGTATGTTATGGAGTAGTTTCTATCGAGGCGATTGTTTTCATGCATGTAAGGGCGTAAGTTCTAGGTAAATTTTCTAACTTATTCACAATATGTAAGAACCAATGTAGTCATGTGAAGTTTTGTTTGACATTTCACAGTGAATTTTAAAAAAACATCATATTCAATTTCTATTAATAGAGATATAAATAGTCAATGATGAATGATGCATATTGACAAATGTGTACAATAAAAAAACAAGAACATAAAATATAAACGTCTGAAGTATTTTTTCAAGTAGCATTTTAATGTTTAGCAATAAATAAATTAGTGTAAGATGTTCTAACCTAAAACTTGATCTCCAAATTTAATGGCTTAGTTTAATTTGATAAGCATGCTTGATTGCTAGGCTATTCCCATCAAAGTTGAGTTCCAGTTTCGCTATATTTTGGGTTTTCCCTTGTTTTACACTCACTTGTGGAATAAGGAAAAGAAAGAAAGTAAGCTAGCTATATTTTATGTCCTTTTGTTTCACGCATACAGGAGTGAGATATATTAATTTGCTAAAGCAAAAAACAAGGGCATGATCAAGTCGCCAATAGACTATGTACTATGCATATAACAAAATACCATCACCTTTCTAGGGTGTGTCCATCCTACATGCATGTGTATAAATACTCTCTAAATTAAATTCTACTCCACCTTACATCTTTGCACATGAGCACTACGAAGGATAGTATATATAAGAGGGTGTAAAATTACGCATATTCGGGTGTTGTCTCAGAGCTATCATAACCTTCCTACCACTTGAATAAATCAAAAGTTCAATATAACTCTTGCACGAAGCAGATAAAATCGGAGGAGAGTTGAGGGATCGGATAATTTAATTGGAATTTTTTTTTATGAAATTTGTAGTACTAATTAGAAAATAGTAAACTCAATAGAAAAAAAATCCTTAATAATTTATTTTTAACAACTAGCAAAATCCTTGATAACCAATAGAGCTAATTAATTTACATTTATTCTTTTGGATTATTACTTCAACAAATTATTTCATTCAAATTTAACAGCTAAAAATAAACATAGTTAGTTAAGTGGATATATATGTATTATGAAAAGAACATAATAATTATTATAGTGGAAACTATTAGGACCCCCAAATCAAATAATGGTCATCAAAAAAAGAAAAGTATGTATTAACCTAAACACACTAATAAGGATGCTATAGCTATAGGAGGCCATATATATATAATGGGGTTAGAAAGTTAAGGAGCCTCATTATGTAAAAAATGAGTGTGAAAGATTAATTAGGAGTTACTTCAAGTTTTAATTTAGAGTGAAATATATTGTTTCCAGACTAAGAAAGATAATTATCATTTGATTTTAAACATGTGTAGCAGCACCTCCATGTGAGTGCCTGAAACATCTTCATTTTTATGTCCTTCAAAGCTTTCTTATTGCATGGGTCCATCTATTTTATACAATTCGATTTTATCCACTTGGCACTTAGTAAAGCCCCCAAGAATCACAGTACATCCTCTATTTTTGATGTATTACATAATATTTGTAGTAAAGAGTAGATCATACACTTTTATAACTGAATACTTAAATTAGCTTGTGTATTCAAACATTATTGAAGGATTAAAAATATTTCAACTGTACAGGCTAGTCTTATACTCTTATCTAAATACGACGCGGACTAGAAATGATTATGTTAAGTTGATTTGTACGTTATATTGTTGAAAAGTGACTTATTTGATTATTAAAACTAATTGTTTGAAAATGACTTTTTGTAAGTATCTGTTTATGTATTTCACTATCATAAAAAATAGTAATAATAGAATAATCAAATGATGTCTATGAAATTATACTTTTAAATTCAAATACACACAAATTTTTACAAGCTAATTAGACAGAAATAATATTAGCTAGTACAAATGATTATGGTTTGCACATTTTTCGATCCGTCTTAGAATATACTCCATACAGTACAGTACAACCTCTACATTCGTACTCCGTATATTGATAAGAAATTGATGTACGAAAAGAACAAGAGAAATACCAAATGATTTTATGTATGAAGAATTATAAATGGAAACATTATTATTGAAGATGGGACATAACATATCAGGCCGTCATGATTTGCTTGAGAGTGAGTGATCAAATAATGTCTGACATTATTTAAATAAAAAAAAAAATTACTTTCAAGATATTATACAAAAAAACAGTAAGCTGATGATAGGCTAAGAGGACACATTTACTACAGTTTATGCTTGAGGCGCAGTCATTAACCCGACATTTTCCCCCACTTTTTGTTTCTTTGCTTGACTTTGTCATCAACTTTTACAAGTTAAAAGTGTATAATACCGGATTAACATTCCAAATAAGTTAACAACTAATCTAATCTCACCTAATTTGACTCAACCTCACACTCTCGAAAGACCTAAATAAGCCGTTGGCTTATATAACAGAGATTGATTACAAGTAGTCTTAAAGATGCTTCTTAAATATTGAAAAAAATTCAATTAATACCATTTAATATAAAGATTAACTCTTAAGCCTATAATTTTTGAAAGACACCAACATGAATGTAACTTTAGTTCGTCAATCAATTAACATTAAAATGTGGATGGCTCAATTATTACAAATACAAGTATGAATATTTTAGAATTAAGAGACTGGTGAAAAAAAAATCACTACGGAGTATAATAATAAATGATGAGTACAATTTTTCGTCAATGCTTACAATGACATTTGAAGTATATATTATGTTTAGAACCCAAAGCAAACACACAATACCTTGTCAAGTATCACTCAATATTGATATAAATGCTTGTTTTAACAACTAAGCTAAGACTTAGTTGGCAAGCAAAAAATGTCTCATAATTTAGGTACTTGTAGGTGAAATTAAGGCCCTCAAAGGATTTTTCATCATTATTGCAAACACTTCCTTCTCATCCAAATCTACAACTTCACCATCCATTGCTTTCCACTCAAAATGCCAAACTAAATTAGCCACCATGTATTCCAAATTCATCCTAGCCAACACATTCCCCGGGCACATCCTTCTTCCTACCCCAAAAGGCATCATTTTGATCTCTTTCCTCCCAGCCACATCAAAACTTACACTAATTTTTTCGTCCTGACCCGAATCCGACTTCACCAAAAATCTATCCGGGTTAAACTCCATTGGACCCTCCCACACATTTGGGTCGCGCCCAATGTCCGCCACCAAGACATTAATAGCCGCATCCTTGGGTATCATATACCCACTAATTTCAACATCTGACCCGGCCCGATGGGGTATAACCATGTGGGCCGGGGGGTGGCGTCGTAGGACTTCTAAGATAGTGGCCTTCAAAAAGGGCATATGATCCAAATCTTCCTCTAGAATATTGGACCTTCGCTCGGGCCCAATAACTAGTTTGATCTCTTCCACTAGCTTGGCTTGTACTTGTGGGTATTTAACCAAATTAGCCATGGTCCACTCTTAACTCAGTTGTAGGTAAATCTGTGCTAGCATTAATAAACTCATTGCACAAACTTACCATTTCATTATCCATCAATTTTCTTGCCCCTCCCTCTACATCTTCATTTGGAACATCCAACTCTAATAAAGAATCAACATAACAATATTGTACCATTTTTTGGTCCTTTTCATCTTTTGTTATTTCTTTTCGGGCCTTGATTAGGCGAAGGTACACGTCATCTAGTTCCTTTCTTAGGTTTTGGATTTCGGCCCATCGCCCGGGTAACAAAATTTTGGTCAACTTAGGCCATGCATTGAGGATATTGAACTTTAAACTTGGCAGGCCCAATAATATTCGCCTACTGATTGATTGTACCTCTTTGATTTGGGCTTCATTTAGAAGAAGCCCAAAACACATTGCAAACTGTAGGTGGAAAATGGATTGAAGGAAATGTTCTCGAACTTGGATTGGGCTCCCATTTTTAGAAAGGGCCTCAAGGTTGTGAATAAGGATTTCCATAGCCCATCTACGGACGCTAGAAAAGGATTTAAGATGGGCTGGGCTCAAAAAGTGAGTGGCCAAGTTGCGGCGCAAAGCTCGCCAAGTAGGCCCATACGCCGCAGAGCTTACAGTATGTTGGTTGCTATTGAACATAGTATGGATAGGATGTGACACTAACCTATCAGCCGTGTTAGCACCATTTTTAACGAGTATTTCGTGTGCTAAAGATGGATCGGATATCCAAATGGTTGGCCGAGAACCCACCCATAGAGTTAATATTGGGCCAAAATTAGAACGAAGGCGCTTCACTAGAGGAACCGGCCCATGTAAGGATGAGTACTTCCACAGTAAAGTAAAGGGATATATGGTGGGTCCTGGTGGTAGAGGGAGATGAATTTTGGTTTTAACATTGGTGTTGAATACTTGTGTAAGAAAAACAAGCAAGGGCTTAACTAGTAGTGAGGTGCAAAGGGAAACTATGATGATGAACCATGTCTCCATGTTTGGCCTTGTGTTTTTTGGTTGTACAAATACTTATATATGTTGCTATGTATATTTATAGTAACAATTGAGGTTGAAAATTCTTAAGTGTTTTAATTTGCATTCGTCTTGGCTTATATCACCATTGATTATGTAGCTAAGCTAATACGTCATCAACAAACCTTTTTACTATAAATTATTACTCATGAAAGTTAGAGACTTTAGGGATGTAGTATTACTTTTTACTAGTTTATTTTGAGGAGGATGGGTGAACTTAGAATAGTATGAATGACTAAATAATTATGTGAGGTCAAAGTTGGGTCCTTATTTCTGAAACTTGTAGAAGTTACTAGCTCCTTTGATTTTGGAAAAGGAGTTAATTCACCTTTTGGAACATTATAATCAATAATCACGTACTTAGATTATAAAAACATAGGAACATTTTGAAACAATCAAAGTTATTTGTCAAAAACATGAAACAATTTTTCTTTCTTTAACTATTTTATCTTCCGTTAAGAAATAAATTGTTATATAAATATATGTATTTTGATAATACACCACACACGTGGTATTTTATTCCGAAGACAAAAATGGTTCTAATTGATACTCAATCCAACTCTACCTTGAAACAAAAAGACACTTAAATATCTTGACCCAAGTCCAATATTGTAGAAGAGTTAGATGAATCACGATCCTTTTATCACCTTTAGATAACTAATATGAAGTATAATTAAGTACTAACTAGTAACTACATACAATGTCTCAAATAATGTAGAAGAATCTGATAAAATTATACTTTGTATGTATAAATTTGAGCATTGATATAATTACAACTAATACATGTATATGGTTTGAAGATAAATTTACATTTATACCTAGCATTTCAAAGCTTAAAACATTTTTTTTTTTCCCAAAAACTCCGTATTATTATTATTATTATTAAAACCCTTCATATAACATTATCCCTAATTTAAAACCCTTCATATAACATTATCCCTAATTTTATTTAAGTTTGCAAAGTTAATTTTCCCATATTTGTTTTAATTAATACTTGTACTTTTTTGGTTGGAAAGATCCTAAATACGAAGTACTTTGTACACCCTTTCTTCTCGGTCTCTCATAATTTTTCAGCCATTGTAAAAACAATACGGAGTATATTTAAGAAAATCAAGAATAGAATCATTGTAAAAACAATACGGAGTATATTTAAGAAAATCAAGAATAGAATCCCAGATTTAAACAAGCTGTAAAATTAAATTGCTAATCGTGTTTCCAAAATTAGAGTAGCAAAAACTTGGGTCCCAAGCAATTAAGTAGAAGTAGCAAGTCCTCTGTCTTCCTATATATATCCATATGCTCCAACAACATTTACTTCCAAAATTCAAAACCCTACTCTTCAATTCACAATCATCATAAACTCTAATCTTCTAATTACGCACAAAAAAAAAAAAAAAAAAAACCACCAAATTTTTTTATAATGGCGGTCGGTAATGGGTTTGATGTTTCTGACGACGAAGAAGAACCCCAATACCCTTCTGATTTCGAAGAATGTCCCGTTGATGATGTTACTGAAGATGAAGATAACAACAATCACAAACCCCAGATTGTAATTCCCAATAATGATCCTGTTGTTTATTATTCCGAAGATGAAGAAGAAGAACCCGATTACATTGATGATTATTATGTTGATGATAATGTTAATAATCACGAGATTATGATTTCCCGAGAAAACGTTGTTGATTATTTCAACGGTGAATTTGAACATCACATACCCGACTTAGATATTTTTCAAGGGTCTGGTTCTGATTTAGAGGAAGAAGAATTTGTTAATGGACTTCTCAATGTTGATGGTTATGGTGATGATTTTGAGTACGAATTCGAGTTCGTTGATGATGGTAACAATGAGGAGGAGGAGGAGGAGGAGGTGAAGGGCGTGAATTCTGTTGTTCGCGAGTTTCCTGATGGATTTGGACAGACAGGTTCTGTGATGTATGAGAAGAGGAAGGTTTCTGCTGTTCGCGATTTTCCTGATAAGAGGACTGAGAGTCTTGAGGAAGTCCAAGAGAAGAGTGTACAAGAGCCTGTTGTCAAGAAAAGGAAGACTTCTGATGTTCGCGATTTCTCTGATCAAGGAAGAGTTGTGATTTCGGCTTTGCAGGCTCCTCAGTTTTGTCCTTGGAGGGATAAAAATGGTAATCTCAAGAAGGCTAGATCTCGTGTAATTGGAGACGGAGATTCAAGATGATTATTCTTTTCTATGTTAGATTGATTCATTGATAGACATTAGTTGCATCTAGACTTGTTAAAACTTTTGTAATGGTTGTAGTTTTTGCGTGCTAAGACTTGTGTTAGCACATTATTCCTGATTATTCTATTCTACTGTATTATTAACTATGTTAAGTTTGTTTTGTGTTATTTGGGATGGAAATTGAGGCAATATATAATATATATTAATATAGCTGTTTTCTTTTTTTATATATATCGACAGTAGTCTTTTAAAGTTTCAATTATAAACAATACTTTGTATCAAACATTTGATTTGACAGTTTGAATTAGTATCTAGAAGAGATTGCTACAAATTATCCCAACTATTTGGACTTTCTAACAAAGCAGCCTATATTTCATAGTATAACAGAATTCTTGCTCTTGTTCACTGAAAATTACCAGTTTATTTAGCATCGCAAAGGCCAGTTTCAGAATCACAGAATCCATCGCGGTCAAGCATCTTTTGAGGAGGAGCGCTTAGTAAGGGAGAAGATGGACTACCATAAGCATTTCTTCTCTTGTTTCCGCAACCTAGGCTTACCCTCGTGTTTACTCCTGTTATGGGATTCGTTCCACTTGCATACTTGCATAGAGCCTGTATATGTATGACACATAGACATTTAGCAGTATTCAACCATTAAACTCAAAAGAAACTTTTTAAAACATAAGCAGGTAATGTTTGCTTAGCTCTTCCTACATTTGAGTCCTTTGGTGTGAAAAAGATTTTTACCAGTTTCTGAGGTAAGTCTAGAACAGCATCGCTAAAATCAGCACCTTCAATGATGGCACCAGCAAGGTCACTTCGAGTAAGGACTGATCTTACAAGGACAGCATTTGTAAGATTAGCGTCATTTAGGACCTGAAATTTTAGGAAAACCTGCTTGAGTATGCAGAGAAAAACCTCATCCATACTAAATCAAGTTTTAATCAATGAAATCAAAAGCTAAAACTAGAGTAATTAGCATGATTTGGGTAATTGTCAGATTTCTGAAACAGAACAAGGTGACAAGTTTATAGTAGGTATTCTCTTAGAGATTATAAATGATCTACAATAGTCCATGATCAGTAAGACAGTAGCTTACCATACGATCCATCAGCGTATCACTAAAATCAGCACCTGGAAATTTGGAAAATTTTGACATCAGTTTATCAAAATCCACCAAGGAACATTATACTAAGAATGTCTAATTTAAGAAACAAAGTTGTACAGATCATATTTTTATGCCGGAAACTCTTGTCTGATCTGAGGGGGTATTACTATCTATAGCTATTGATAAGACCATAATTACTTTTCTTTTAATTATCCTATGGGCTACTTATAATGTCTTGCAAACAACTAATTAAGATAGAATCACCTTAGATAGCCAATGCAGGGTGATTGGGTTTGAATAGGTTGTAAAAGGTGACCATGTCAATTAGTCCAAGTAAACATCTATAGTAATTGAGAAGACTATAATTACTTTTCTTTTGATGATTTTACGGGAGGGAAGACATTGAGTTTATCCCTACAAACGGCATTCACACTAGACTGAATTCACACCAGATAGCTAAAGCAGGGTGATTGAATTTGAATAAGTTGTAAATGGTAGAAGTATGACCGCGTCAATCAGTCCAATTGAACATAAAACCATTTTGTGATTTATTTTAGTTAACTGATACTGCAAGTTCAATGCAATGAAGTAGTAATGTATGTAAGATTATATATTTAATGTGGTGAAGTAATTGATGAATTGAACCATACCAGTGAAATTGGCTTTGTAAGCAACAGCTTTCTCAAGGTAAGCACCATTAAATGTAGATCCACTGAAATCTGATTCCCTCATATCTGCTGATGTGAAATTTGCCCTTCTGCAAAGTTTACAGTATAACATCATTATCACATTTTTTTTCACTTCTCCTGCTTAATGTTGCACTCTTGGATCTCTTGTGTTACAATCACAGATCATAATGTACACAAAAATATGAAAAGCTCAAGTCTTTTGAGTCCTCGTCCAAAATTTATAGTCATGTCGATAGTGTAATTTGAACTCTAATAATGTGACAATCATATGCAGACAGAAAGATAAATTTTTGTTACCTGAAATTTTCGTTGACATGAACAGCTTTCCTGCAACCAACCAGAACAAAAAGAGGAAGATCTCAATTAATTCAACCAACTCCAAATTTGTAAAAATTGACAGTAAAAGTTGCAAGTGAAATAATATGATCAAAGAAGAAAAGCAGACTTTAAATCAGCAGAACCATATTGAGCAGCAGAGCCAATCCCAAATTCGCCTCGCATTTCGGCTTCAAACTTGTTCAAATCAGCCAAGGCAGGGAAGCTAGTGCTCAAACTCACAACTGCAGCAGCTGCCAATGCTGTAGAAATCCATGCCTTTAACCTCTTTGACTCTGCATTAACCAACCAACTTTAATCAATTTCTCTTTTTATGCAAAACCACAATTAAGAACAAGTAATCCCAATTCAAAGTATAAAGTTTTTAAAGATTCATGAAATCGAAATTTTTAAAAGACCTGATAAAAGTACATTCTTGGGACTTCTTTGTTCCAATTCACAAATAATTGAAATTGAGGAGCTTGAACTTTTCTGAGAATTTTTTTTTATGTAATTTGATTTTAGTGGTATTAAGGAAAACGAACAAGTTGCCATAATTTTTTGATTTGTACTAAATTCAAGCTTTGTGATTTAAAATTGAGTTTGATTGAAGAAATATTAGAGAAGGTTTGTTAATTTTCCCTCCAAACAATATCTGATTGTCTTAAGATGATGAATATGATTGGATAAGAAGAAGACACGTTTGACCATTCCCTTTTTCTTATTTTTGATTTTATTTCACTTTGCAAATATCAAATGATTTTAGTGAAGTTCACTAGGCTTTAATTTGGGCCTAAGCAATTTATTACAGTAGTATAAAAGTCTTTTGGATATTGGGCTTGTATTCTAAAGGCTTAGCCCAGCTCGGTTTTATGTTGTAGATCCAAAAACTTTACAATAGGCATATTAATGTTAAAAATAACTAGCTTAGGCTCTGCTTCTTCTTATGATCATCTTAAATTTTTATGTATTTGGATGAGTTTTGGAGTATCAAAGGAAAGAAATTTAATTTTTTTTGTAAAAAAACAATTAAAATTACTTTAAAATACCAATTTTTACGAAAGACGTATTAAACTGTTGATACAGTCTGCATTCTCCAATTTGAGCATACTGTAAACATCCTAAATGCCCTATTATTATGCATTATAAATATTATATGTAAGTATTATAAATAATACAGCAATATACTAATCTATGATAGTATGTTGAATATGTTCCAACGACAAAATTTTGTTTCAAAAAAAACAACAAAATCAAATAGGAAAAAGAAAAAGCGCCGTTGCCGGGGATCGAACCCGGGTCACCCGCGTGACAGGCGGGAATACTTACCACTATACTACAACGACTTGTTTGAGAGTTACTGACCAATTTAAATATTTGTAGCTGTAACAATTTTAATAGAAATAATTAGAAAATATTTGTAAATATTTTTAGTATAGAATTATACAGTAAATTTTGTATTTGTGTGTCTCATTGGAATTATATTACTGAATTAATACTTTACTCACTTAATATTATTAAGTAAGGTACTAGCATTATATATGGAGCAAAAACCAAATACAATTTTGTCCTTTATTCACAATAATTTGATAGTTTGTTAGATCAAACGACAAAATTCCTTTGTGTGTGATGTGAATCGAGTCCCCTTCCTTATAACTATTATTTTGCTTTATTTAGGTACTCTCTTGGTTTTACCTTACTCTTAAAGTAGGGGTTTTACAAGTGAGTTTTTAATAATGTTTTTATTATTTTCTTAGTAGTAGTTATGGGGCCTTGGGCTTCCAAAGTTGTGTTAATTAATTAGTGGGCTCTCTTGGTTCATTAATTAATTATTAGGGCTTTTTATTTAGTTTGCTTGCAGGGCAAGTAGGATAGATTTATTTTTCCTATATATACTAGTTGTATGTCAATTATTTTAGGAGGATGTTTTATGAATTATAATTTGAGATTATTGAGCTTTTGCTTGAAGAGAACTTTGTTAAGGTTCAAACTAGTTGTTAACTAGGGTTTTGGGATCGTTACTCCTAAAATCAAACTTAGAAGTCGTTGCCTTCTAAGACTATCTTTCAAATTTCCACCATTAAAATCACTCAAATCCTTCCATCAAATATAAACCGTCAAAATACACATCAAATTGGTATCAAGAGCTTAGGTTTGTGAGCCCTCACGACTTACACGATCTTGGTAATTAGAACAATTTTTGGTTGCTTTTCAAGTATTACGGGTGATTTGCAATTAGATTACGGTAGTGTACTTTGTCTTCGAATCTGGAAGTAAGCATTACGTAGTACTAGAGGTACGTAATTCTAGAGTTTTAGTTGGTGAATTTGTCTCTTAGTGCATATTAATTTCTTGATTTACTTGCTGCAAATCATCAAGTTGGTGGAGATAGTGCAACTAATACTTTTGTGCATTCATATTTCGGTACACAGATACACACAAATAAATTCTAGGTATTGATGAATTATTTAAAAAAAAAAAAAAAAAGAATCCCCTGCTAATACAAAATTAGAGTGTTGCGCGAGAGTTGTTATTCCTTGTCCAAATTATTATAAAGGTTTTGTTAGACTAATTTGAGGTTTTTGTCTTAAAATACGGAGGAATAATTTGCTGAAAATTATTTCGACATCATGAGTACTTTAACAAAGGAAGATCTTGATATTATGCTTGTTGATATGATGAGAAATTTTAATGCGAGTCTTGAACGAATGAATGAGAAAATTGAGAAGAGTACACAAGAAATTGCTCAAACCAATCAAAGGGTTGAAACTTTGTCTACTCAAGTGATTGGGGAAGGAAGAATAATCAACAACGAACAACCTAGGGGAATCATGAGAAATTTTCCAATTGACAATGATCGAGATTTGAAGTTGTTGGAACTTCCGGAATTTACAGGTGATGGGGATGCCGAAGACTTTTTAGATTGGGTTCGTCAGATGGAAAAGGTCTTTGATTATAAAGGTTTTGATGAGCAAAAAGCCTACAAGGTTGCAAACCTAAAACTGACGAGATATGCTTCTCTATGGTTTGAGAATTTACGTGCCAAGAGATTGAGAGAAGATGAGCCACGAATTAATACTTGGAACGAGTTGAAGAGACAATTAAGGAAACGGTTCCTACCACGGGAATTTATCCAAGATCAATTCTTGAAGTTGAATCATCTTGAACAAAAGAATCTTAGTGTCGCTGAATACACTAAAGAGTTTGAGAAATTGTGCATGCTTTGTGATTTGCAGGAAAAAGAGGAGATGAAGATTGGACGATACATAAAAGGGTTAACACCTTCGATTTCTCACAAGGTGGAAACATCAAATTATGTGTTCTTTGATGATGTCTTAAGGTTGGCAGAGAGATTTGAGAAACAGGAGAAAGAAAAGAAAATTTCTTATTTCAAGGAGAGGAAGTCATTCTTTAATGGTGAGGGTTCGAATATCAACTCTAACAATTCAAACAATGAAGGGAAGATGATTGTTGTTACTCCCGAACAAGCTGCATTGGCGAAAAAAGTTTGTTTCAAGTGTCAAGGCATGGGACACATTGCTAGAGATTGTGGTAACAAAGTGACGGTATCCAAGAAGGAACATAGAATGTTGTTGGCTTATCTTGACCATGAAGAGAAAGAGAAGGAGAGTACATGTTTGCTCAATACAGAGGAAGAGTTTGATTTTGAAGAGTTTGAGGGTCAAGAAAAGATTACTCCTGAACCTGAACATCACCATATCGGTATCTTAAGGAGAGTTTTGCATGCTAATTTTGTTCCTCCTACTACACATGAGCAAAGGGAAAATTTGTTCCATACTATATGCAAAGTGGGTGATAGGAGTTGCTCGTTGATTATAGATACGGGATCGTGCACCAATGTTGCATCTACTAAGTTGGTTGACACTATGAATCTTTCTACTAGGGACCATCCTACTCCTTACAAGCTTAATTGGTTACATGATGGAGATGGACTACAAGTTAAAAGGCAAGCTTTGGTGAACTTTTCCATGGGTTCATATTCTGATAGTGTATGGTGTGATATTTTACCTATGACTGCTTGTTCTATACTCTTGGGTCGTCCTTGGCAATATGATCGAGGGGTGTTATTTAATGGTGTTACAAATGTTTATTCAGTGAAGGTTGGGGATAAGAGAGTCCAATTACATCCTTTACCCCCTAAGGCGCCACCTATTCAAGCTCCTGCTAGAGAGTTGTTGATTATGCCTAAACTTAACAAAAAGGAAAGAAGGGCTAATATGTTGTCATTGAGAAACCAACACCCTTTTGAGATTGGTGAGTATGTTTTCTTATCTTTAAATGCTCAAAAAATCTTTAATAATTCTAGAGGTAAGAATGAACCATTAGAGGAAGGACCTTTCAAGATTGTGCATAGGGAGAATTATGATACTTTTCAAGTACTTCTTGGAGCGGGAATTTGCGCTACTATGAGGGCTAGTGACTTGGTACCTTGTCTTCCGAACGAAACTTGAGGGCAAGTTGTTTTTTAAGAGGGAGGGAATGATGTGAATCGAGTCCCCTTCCTTATAACTATTATTTTTCTTTATTTAGGTACTCTCTTGGTTTTACCTTACTCTTAAAGTAGGGGTTTTACAAGTGAGTTTTTAATAATGTTTTTATTATTTTCTTAGTAGTAGTTATGGGGCCTTGGGCTTCCAAAGTTGTGTTAATTAATTAGTGGGCTCTCTTGGTTCATTAATTAATTATTAGGGCTTTTTATTTAGTTTGCTTGCAGGGCAAGTAGGATAGATTTATTTTTCCTATATATACTAGTTGTATGTCAATTATTTTAGGAGGATGTTTTATGAATTATAATTTGAGATTATTGAGCTTTTGCTTGAAGAGAACTTTGTTAAGGTTCAAACTAGTTGTTAACTAGGGTTTTGGGATCGTTACTCCTAAAATCAAACTTAGAAGTCGTTGCCTTCTAAGACTATCTTTCAAATTTCCACCATTAAAATCACTCAAATCCTTCCATCAAATATAAACCGTCAAAATACACATCAGTGTGCAACCATTTTGGGTTATTATAGACATATATCCTCGGTTTTTTGGCTTACTTATATATATATAGTGTAACAAACAAAATACGAAGTATAATTCAAGATAGGTTGATATCATGAAAGTTCAAAATGATACATCAAGTTAATGGAATGGTCGACGAATTTGCCATTGCAAGCAGCAAACATCTGTGGGGTTATGCTTAGCATTCTTGTGGCTCTGGTTTCAGGCTACATGCTAAGATATACATTCTCATTATCTTCAATTATCCTTTCTTATATTAATGTCCAAATAATATTTCAATTCCTTTATCGTCACATAGAATCTCATACTTAAATCTTCAAGCATAATAATGTGCTAGATACTACTTGTGATTTTTAAGTTTTCTTTTCTTTAACCACCAAATTGTTACACCTCAATTGCTTTATTAACAATTTTTATTTTTATTTTATATATATATATATATATATATATATATATATATATATATATATATATATATTTTGTATTTCAATCAAAATTAACAATTGATACTATGTAGCATATAAACTAAGTATATAAGGATTTACGGAATAATCTCAACTTATATCTATTATCGTTGGATAAATTCTACTTAAGTACACGAAAACTGAAAGCTGGTTGCTAGAAGGTGTTTTGATCTCACAATCAAAATAAAATATAGTATGT